AGAGGCAGTAGGGGAGAAAGTAGAGAGGAGGGTGGGGAAGAGAAGATCCATGAAAGGGTTGGCTTGCTAATCGCACCAGTCATCAGCTAAATCTTGGACAAAGTTAACTGTAATTTCTTTTTGTCATCTAGCAATGACCTTTTACTACGGGTTAGAATGTACATTTAAAAAAAATAAATTTACCACAAGACGTCGATGCCAGCGTAGGCTGTGACCCTCTCGGGGACGGTGGAGAGGTGGAGGGGGTCAAGGACACCCAGGGTCGGCTTTAGGGCACGGCTGGTGATGCCTGGGAAGGGAGGAGGAGATGGAAAGAAAGATGAGGAATTTTTGGCCGTGTTGAGTTACTAAGACTATAAGGTCAGAAATCAAATGTTCTATCTACTCTATCAAAGCCGCAAGATTATTCGGAGTCGTGTTATCAAGATACTCAAAGAATTGCATTCGAAAAAGCTTGACCATGTTGTGTCAAATTTCTTCAAACTAGGTTCTGAGCGGATAGAACTTCGTAATTCTGGGGTAGCGGTATGATATGCCAACAAACTGACGTGCCCTTGATTCCATCGGGTCGTGACACAAAAATCGTTATATTATTTTATTATTATAGTAGAGGGTTTTACGGTGCTCGCAACTGAATAAGGTCATATGAGCACCAGAAGATTAGAGGCGTTACAAGAGAGTAACAAACATAAAAAAGAAGGGGAGATAAGGACGATAGATGTTTGATATGAAAGAAAGAGCAAACCACACCAGAGCACCCGCCAACCACCCACGGTTAACTGTTATGTGTGGAGTGGAAAGGAAGTGGACCCAACCAGACTGACCTCTTGATGAACTTGGCCTATTGATGTTGTAGGTGCTGTAAAACTTTTACTAACCCCCCCCCCCGGCAAACAAAGGGGTTAACTGGTATGTGTGGAGTGGGAAGGAAGTGAACACATGCGGATAACTTGAGAACGACAGGTGTACGCCATTGGCCGATATTTATAGTAACAGCCATCTTGTTTGACGTCATTGAGGGATTCCCACTTTGTTGTCGTTCACGGTGACAACACAACCACAAAGCACTATTGTAGTATTTTTAAAGCCTGTAGCTTACAGAGGCATGATGGTGGAGTGGTTAGTGCGCTTGTCTCCAAAGTAGAAAGTCAAGGTTCGAGCCTCGGTTCGGCCACAGATTTTTTTTTTCGTCCCCTCCTGCCCACCCACCTGTAATGGGTACCTGTCTTCGAGTTGGGGAAGTAAAAGACTAATTTTTTTATTTAAAAAAAATTTTTCTTAAAAAATTGTACTTTTTTAAAATCCATCAAAGTCACGAAATCACATGCTTTTTCAGTTATCTTATATATTTTTTGAGAAAATTTTTTTTTTTTTTATATTAGTCGTTTACAAAGGGGTTAACTGCTATGTGTGGACCGGGAAAGAGGTGGACCCAACCAGTCTGACTTTACTTTTACTTTACTTTACTTTTCCGATCCAGCGGCCATTTGGGTTCTAGCCCTTCCGTCTGTCGATATGGCAAAGAATTTACAGGT